TGGACCTATATGCCTTTGGGGGGAAAAAAAATTACACTTTTTGTTTGATGTTAAAACCTCTAGCTTCTAAAGGCTATAGTGCAATGCAGAACACGTTTCATATGCAGCAGCTAAGATCACTTTCCACCTCTGGGATCCCCCTTTTTTTCAAGATGCTATGCTCCTTTGTGCTCTCCTCATCAGCTAATTAACAGTACTGATGATACATGTTTGTGCCTTAATTACATTACACAGCTCCTAAGATTTCTTGTGGCATTTCTGCAAGACATTGGTGTGGGACATAGAGCAAACATTGCATAAATTGACATAATAATAAGTTCTTGAGAATACGTTAACTTCTGAAAATTGAATGTAACCTCTGGAATTCCAGCTATGTTGAAGAGATTAAATTGTGTGTTTAACTATATGAGGCAATCAATGAAGTGATGCATGAAGTAAATAAAAAGGTTATGAGTAACTCCTTTATCTAACTGTTCCAGTGTGTACTGGAGAGAAAACAGGATCCGACTGAGATCACTCCCTTTAATTTCCCTATTATTTGAGATTACTTCCTGCTCCTTGAATCTCTTACAGAAAAGCTGCTAATTTTCAAGAGATATTTATCTAATGAAGAGTGGCCTTAGATATGAGGTCTGTCTGTCATATTTGAGGCCTACAGGACAGATGGGGAGGGACCCTTTATCAGGGAGCGTAGTGATAGGATGAAGAGTAGCGGTTTCACACTGAAAGAGGGTAGATTTGGATTAGATATTAGAAGAAATTCTTTACTATGAGGGTGGTGAGGCACTGGAACAGGTTGCCCAGAGGAGCTGTGGCTGACTCCTCCCTGGCAGTGTTCAAGGCCAGGCTGGATGGGGCTTTGAGCAACCTGGTCTAGTGGAAGGTGACCCTGCTCGTGGCAGAGAGGATTGGAACTAGATGATCTTTACGGTCCCTTCCAACCCATTCTGTTGGGTCTGTGATTTCGTTTTGTGCAGTCTCCTCAGATTAGATCTGTGGCTTTTTAATAGAGTGTATTTGTTTTCTTCATGCACTGCATTTTTGTGAATAAAGTATATTTAAAAGATATTATGCATCCTAGGTACAAGAAATTGAAACTGCATCATAATGATAGAAAAATTAGACTGAAGAAGATGTGATTCTCTCCTGGATATTAGCACTCTTTCTCTGGCACTAAGTAAATTTGACTGCAACAAGGAATGAACTGAAGAAATTAAAAGTGTTTGTGGGTGGTTGAAGGGGGACGAAGTTAGGTAACTATTTTGTTGTTTCCCCTCAATGTGAATGGAGGATTTCAATATCTCTTTGCCTGTGATAGGTTTGGGATTTTCTTCCTTAAAAGTACTAATTTTTAAAAGGCCACTTACTGATGCAATACTGATTGATTTTCATGGAGCCTCCAATAATTCCTGAGTTGTCTTCAATATAGCACACACATTTTTAGAAGAAAGCAGAGTATAATTAACATTTGAATAAACTGTTTTATAATCTTTTCTTTGGCATATTTTATATTTATTTTCTAGTCTCTCTCCTAGCAAATTCATTTTGAGTTCCCTTTTTGGGCACTTACGTTTTTTTTCAGGTGCTAATTCAGTATACATATAGAGTTTTTCAGAGTGACAGATGTATTCAGGAAAATTACCTGTAGTTTTAAAAACTCTGTGGTTTAGTATTTCTGACCTGCAGGAAGTATGTCACAGAAGTGTGTCACTAGCTGCGTGCCTGCAGTACGTTTCTCCTTCAACAGGCAAGCTCCTATCTGCAGGTGGTTACTCTCTCTGAAAGTGCCAAAAAAAAAAAAAAAAGGCGAGAAGGCGAAAGGGCCAAAAAAAAAAAAAAAAAAGGCGAGAATGCTGTGGTCCATAAGCATGTCTTGAAGTTAGAGGAGCAGTGGAGCTCACCTGTACTAAGCAGCTGTACCTACAGCTGGCTTGACCAGCTAAGGCTGGGAGACCAAAGAAACTGCCTTGAGACAGGGATCCCAGTAAAAACCTGTGGAAAATCTGCTTTTGTAGTAGAAGTGTAAAAGAAGACATGTCAATAATACTTCGCCTGGAGGAAGTCAGAAACTAATATCCTTGGAATAGTAAATGTTGTTTCTGGAGCAGTGTATATATATATATATATTTGTGTATGTGACCTAGTTAATTAAACTTTGGTTATTCTGTTTTGAAGTGTTGTTCTTTATCTTTGATACAGCTGAAATGTGGTAAAATGCAGTGATTTATTTTCCTTGTAGATGGCTGTGGAATTTCTACATGAACTAGATGTTCCATTTTTCAAAGTAGGATCAGGAGATACAAATAATTTTCCGTATTTGGAAAAGACCGCAAAGAAAGGTAAGCATTTTGTTTTGAGCTGTCTTAGTAAACATCACTGTGTCTCAGTAGATCAGTTATTAGATCTTTCCTCCAATTGATTTTGGAAAAAAATCTAAAGTACCTTTAGAAGAAAATCATCCTCACACTTGGAAAAAAACAGATTCACCCAGCTTCCTTTTTTAGTTTAATTGGATTCATTTACTTCAAGAATTTAATTTAATCTTGTGTAGCTTTCTGACAGACCTGGGACAAATCATGTGCATGTTTTCTAATGGCTAGGTCGCCCAATGGTGATTTCCAGTGGGATGCAGTCAATGAACACAATGCGTCAGGTTTATCAGATTGTGAAGCCCATCAACCAAAATTTCTGCTTCCTGCAATGCACCAGTGCATACCCGCTTCAGCCAGAGGATGTCAATCTTCGTGTTATATCGGTCAGTGAATAACCTAGAATGTGCCATGGGTCGGGTACCAGAGAAGGGCTATGCGCTTTTACTGAGGCATATTTCCATGCATACTGGAATTTGCTTGTGAGAAGTTAGAAGATGTATCGTGTTCCTCTAATTCATACTAGTGTTGAAGTAAAAGTCTCCATTGGATCCTCTTTTAGCAGAACCCAGCTTTGAGAAATACGATAAAGGATATTACTTGAATATTCACAGTTAAACAGAGGAAAATATGACATGTGGCTAACAGGTTAACCCTGTGCTTTGTGGTGCAAGGGAAAATTATGTAGACTATTACCATTAAGAAGGTGCGTGGAATTGAGAATTAAATAAGGGGCTAGACCAGAAACTTCTGTTAAAAATGCTTCATGTGAGTATCAGAGCAATGAAGAAAAAAGATTAGGCCCTTGTATAGTTTTCTTTGCTGAAAATATTACTTGGGTATGCCTGATAATGATGCAAGATTTTCCCAAATTGGCCAGTGTTCAAGGACTTGCCTAGCTTTATGCACACATATTATATTATTTTTAGTAAAATGGGACATGGGTGCATTTAATGGCTTTTAGGATTGGGTAACTGTCTCCTATGTATGGCTGAAAGGATTGCTTCAGATTTTCAGTACAAGGTTGAAGAAATTTGTTTTGGGTACAGGTTAAGTTTAATGAGTCCACTGGGTTCTTGGATAGAAATAGAGCACTACTCTATTACTGTAACTTACAGTGATGTAAGCTGTGAAGACCTTGAAGAGTACAACCAAATTAAAAGGAAAAGTGTAAGAGAAGTAGTAGAGTAGAACAAACCTCCTTTTCCTTGTCAGTATTGGTAATCCTAGTGAAATTCTTAGAATGTGATGGTTGGTAATGCAGTGTGACTTACTGAATATAAAAAACCAAACTAAACCAAAACATTCTCAGCGTAACAAACTGCTTGTTTTGTGGCACAGTAATTGCCCATGGTTATTATTGCAGTTATCACTGTTAAATTTGCTTTGTGTTTGAAATTGCTACCTTGGTAATTCAGACCAACTCTGTCATGATTCAAGGCGTATCAGTCGGCTTTTCCCGATATCCCCATTGGCTATTCGGGGCATGAAACTGGCATAGCCATTTCAGTGGCAGCTGTTGCTATGGGTGCTAAAGTAGTGGAACGCCATGTGACTCTCGACAAAACATGGAAAGGAAGTGACCACCAAGCATCCCTGGAGCCACATGAACTGGCAGAGTTAGTGAAAGCCATTCGTACTGTGGAAAAAGCAATGGGTTCTCCAGTCAAGCAACTCTTGCCCTGTGAAATGGCTTGCAATGAAAAGGTAAATTTTGCTTTTGATTCATGTACAGCTGAAACTTATTTAGACCTATAGCTAATAACTATATTCAGAAAAATAGCTTGCTAATTGTTATTGCCACAGTGTTTCTGCCTCTGCACTCAAAAAATTCTGCTGCTAAGTAGCAGTATGTACAGTGTTTATGTTTAGCCTACTGCAATGTTACTATTGACCTGTAATTTTCTATGAACTGCTATTTCTATCAGTCAGTAACTCTTTTTACCAAAGCATAATGTTTGCGATTTTGAGTTTAATGGAGTTCTGTGTATATCATCCAGTGGTTAACGAAGTTGAGTAGAATCATAGAATCATTTAGGTTGGAAAAGACCCTTAAGATCGAGTCCAACCTAACACTGTCAAGCCCACCACTAAGCCATGACCCTAAATGCCATGTCTACATGTCTTTTAAATACTTCCAGGGATGGTGACTCAACCACTTCCCTGGGCAGCCTGTTCCAATGCTTGATAATCCTTTTGGTGAAAATTTTTTTCCTAATATCCAATCTAAACCTTCCCTGGCACAACTTGAGGCTATTTCCTCCTGTCCTATTGCTTGTTACTTGGGATTGGTGACTGATGCTCACTACAGCCTCCTTTCAGGTAGCTATAGAGAACGATAAGGTCTTCCCTCGGCCTCCTTTTCTCCAGGCTAAACAACCCCACTTCCCTCAGCTGCTCCTCATAAGACTTGCTCTCTAGACCCTTCTCCAGCTTCGTTGTTCTTCTTTGGACAAGCTCCAGCACCTCAATTTCTTTCTTGTAGTGAGGGGCCCAAAACTGAACACAGTACTCAAGGTGCAGCCTCACCAGTGCTGAGTACAAAGTACCCAGTAATAGTAATAATAGGTCTCTATGACTGTATATGAGCTGCTTTTACGCTAAGCTAGAATACTAGTCAGTCTAAGCAGGTTCCCTCCATTCTGATTCTGAAAATTTCCCATGAGCCATTATCTGATTTCAGAAAGGATCTGGATGTTGCTGGCAGCCTAGTTACAGTAAAGGTTTTTTTGCTAACTCAACCTTCATTTGGAATAAGAAGTAATAGGGAGGGCAGTTCCACACAAGCTGTTCCTAAGTAACTGCAGAATATTTTATAGCCTTTTTTGGTGTACTAAGCCTAGGAATGTGTTTGACTTGTTTAACTTATTTTTTATTTCTCCCCTGTAGCTGGGAAAGTCTGTTGTGGCAAAAGTGACAATTCCTGAAGGTGCAGTACTGACACTTGACATGTTGACAGTGAAGGTGGGAGAGCCTAAGGGATTTCCCCCAGAAGCCATCTTTGATCTGGTGGGCCAGAAGGTTAAAAAAAGTATCAAAGAAGATGAAACCATCACTGAGCAAGCAGTGGAAAATCGTGTCAAAAAAGTGAAGTGCTAAACCAAAGCACTCCATTCCATATTTCATGATATAGTGCTGCACAACATATTTGGAGCCTGGTAGATTAGAAGAAAGGGGTGTAGTTACGAGGATCCAAGCAGGTTAGAATTTTCAGGTTCTCATTAGCAGGAAGTTTCTGCAGCAAGTGGATATAAACAAATATAAAAGCTTCCATTTTCTCATAAGAATACAGTAAATCACAATAATTTTGTCTATACTTTGTTCTAACTCTGTGTCTTTTGATGTTCCTCTCTTTCTGCCATTTTCCTCACCCCTGTGATATGCAGATACACTGAACACTAGACTTGCAACTTGATGGATTTTTCTCAAGATGAAGCCTTAGCATAAAGCAGTGGGTTGCAGGAAGCTGCACTCTGTGGAAAATTAGCTTCTTGAGAAAGCTAGGTTCTCAAAAGACAGTACCAAGAAAGGAAGCAAATGGGATATCTAGAAAGGTCCCTTCTAAGGGGCAAGAGAAAGAGCCTTTTTGCGGACTGATGGGCAAGAGGGCAAGCCAGACAGATGAATCAGTGGAAATAGACTTAACCTATGCTTCAAAAAAAACGTCAAAAGTACCTATTGCGAGCTGAGTGAAGCCTGGAATGTGGAATCAATGCTGCAGTGCATTTGGATACCTCTGTTCGTACCTGGGGGTAGCTTCTCAGGTAGGAAGCCAAATGCTGGTGAAGATTGAGCAGCCTCCTTCCTGTACTAACAAGGAAATACATTAGCTTGGGTTTTTTCCCCCCGACACCAGTGTTAGATCTGAGGCTGGCTGCTTGACTAGATCACAACACTGTGCTTCAAGCATGATGGTCAGTGCTCCTCTTGTGTGGTCTGCTCTTGCATCAGCTTCTCACTTTTCAAGTAAGAAATGCATTCCTGTCAGCCTGCTGCTTTTCCCTTTGTCCAGGAAGGAGCAATATGGCAGCAGCTGCAAACCAGGCATTCCTCAATTAGCTTGGTTAACACAGAACTGCTTTGGTGTAATGCATCTTCATTTTTCTGTGGTGGAATCATTTACTAGTGATGGTTATTTGGAACTTGCCACCTCTTGGTCATAAGTTGGTGAAGTATCCTGAATTTGGTCGTGGTGTTTCTGTACCTATGAGCTGTTTACTTTCAAAATGTTTACCCTCCTGCAATTCCGAGGAAACTGTATTCATATCTGTAAACTGGAAAGCAGAGATTCTTTGAATCATGTGCTTGACCATATGTGAGCTCTTGACTTATGCAGTATGCTTGCCTTACATTAAAAAACTACTCAATTTTTAAAAGATTTTTTTTTTTTTAAATTTCAACTTTGAAAAATAAATTTAGCTTATACAACAAGCTATTGTTCGTGCATTTCAGCCTACGGTCAGACCTTGCCTTTGCCAGTACCAGTGATGATTCCTGGGCATTTAGTATTTGAACACTGTGAGATTACCTGAGCTGTTTCAAGTAGCAGTGGTTCTTCACTCCAACAGGGATGGTCCTAGAGGCTGGTGTAAACATAGGCTACAAAAATTTGCAGGACTTTAATTAACATATTGTGAAAAAAAAGAAATTATCCCAACTTGCAAGCTGACTCTCCTAGTTTTATGTGAGCATACCTTTATCTAGCTGCAGATAAAGAGACTTTGCAAATAGGACACAAAAATAAATTAAGCACAGGTGACCCACTGACCAAGTATTTTTATTGCACCTGTGGGTCCTCCAGGCTTTTCATATTCCATGTTAAAAAAAGTACAAAAAATATTTCATATGGCTCTTTAGGTGGTACATCAACATAATTTATACAAGCCAGATCACCTTCCCCCACTGAAAAATGCATATACATTAAAAATTACTGTTAGTTGTCTTCAACTTAACTGTTACATTCTAAAAGCATCACAGTTACAACTTTTTGTATGACAGAGATCAATTCATGTAGATCATTGCTAAAGTGGCTTTCATAGAAAAAAGCATGAAGTAGTGGGCTTTATTTTGCTTTGTTCCTTATGTTAGTTTGCATATTCCAATAGACCTTTCCCAGAGCCTGAAGGCTAGGTAAACTGGTTCTGTGAAGTTGCAGCAGAAGGTGTGCAAATAAGCCATGCTGTCATTAACATTTGAGAATGGAAGGATTCCTGCTTCATAATCCAAAAAGGTGCCAGTGCGATCAGGGTAATCTTCTATCAGGATGGGGATTCTCTTCCCCTTCTGAAATGACCAGTATTCAAAATCAAACTTCTTAAGGCACCAAGATGCTCTGTTCCAGACCAGTAAGAGTAGGCTGCGCCAATCCACCATTCTGCTCCAGCATGAAGCAGGTCAGCTTCCCAGCAATGGCTCCCAGAGAGGAATGCATCTCTGCTTAGGACTTGCCATAACTTATTGGATCTCTGGGGACCACAGGGGTATAATATCCTCCTTCAATTACATTTTACTACAAGGTGATCACCAGACAATTTCAGCCTTGGGTGAAGACTCGCATATTCCCAGGTTGGTGATCTTGCATCTGCAGTCAAAACCATAAACACTTACTACATTTATCATGACTCTTGAAAGAAGTCGAACTTAAGAAAAAACCTGCAAAGGAGTCCACATTTGGCAGCGTCTTGGAACCTGCAGTTTTGCAAGGGAAAACCTGACATTTTTAATAGAAAGCAAAGCACTGCACTATATGCACTGGTGCTTTAAAGTTGCATAGACTTTAAAGCAGGTCAGTAAAAGACAAATCGGCAAGTCAGTATATGCATGGTTCACAAATGAGAAGATGAATACATCTAGGTAGGGAACAAACACTGAGAGCTTCCACTTTATGCAGGAGGCTTCTGATGGGATTACAGCCTAACTACTTCAGAGAGCACTGGAGCAGACTCTTGGGTTGTGAGATCCCATTCCACTGAAATCCATTGGAAGATGCACTAGGAGAGTATAAATGTGAATTTGACTAGAAAAATAATGCAAAATAGCTAGAGTTCTTTGGATTATTGGAGGACTACAATTCTTCCACTTCTAAGTGATTAAAATTTTAAGTGACTTTTAAGTCCAAATATTTATGACCAAGCTTTGACAATTTCACTGGCCTATCAGCAGCTGCACATCTTTCTTAATGAGGTGGTTTGTCATTTTTAGCTTTAACAGAATTGAGAAATTGTCTTTTCAACCCTTAAAGTGAGTGCTCGCATGTGAAGCAAATACAGAGGCGGCCTGAAGCAGATACAGATGAGCATTCATGAAACTCAGAACCGTAGTTCACTGCCAGCCAGATGCTGCTGCAGTGCTCTCAGTAGCAAGTGCTCAGTCATGTGGACTGGCTGTCCTAGCACCTTAACAGGTTCCGGTTACGAAGTGACTGACTCAGTCTGGATCCTACAGCGCAGAAATTTTTCAGGTGGGAGAAGACACATGACATCACAGCCAAAAAGACAGACTTTGCTGGTTTCATTCCTGGTTTCTTAACATCTGCATTTACAAGTAGAACACCTGTTTGCTCGTCTCCAGTTGAGATAACCTGTTTGGAATGAAAAAGTTGCTGTGTTTGGACTTAAAAGCTCACCCAGGAGAGAATAAAAACAAGACAAGGTTCCAACACTGAAAAATGCCCCTCTCAGAACACACCAACCTATAGGTGCAGGGACAGCAGGTAACGCACTCTACCAGCACAGCATCTCCCCTTGCCCTCCCTACTGAATAACAGAAATCTAGTGTTCACTTGGCTGCAGTCACAGCCTGCCCTGCGCTGGACTCAGGCCAGAAAACAGACCTTGTCTTACAACAGGCCTTTGCCACCAGGTACAATGACAATAGGGAATGCTGCAGTTTTTAGATTAAAAATAGCTACAGCCCTCATCTCTTGCAGGCCACAGGAAATATCCTATCAGATAGATGAAAATTCACTGTACATCTTTCCTACCAACAACAGAGGAAAGGATCACCTGTAGATTGACTCTTAACACATTACATGATGAACATATAATTAAAGACAGACCACAATGATCTGGAGAATAGAAAAGTTCAAAAACTAAATTAGCCACTAACTGATTCACACACTGGCAGTTCTGAATAGAAACAAAGGATCAAGGTTTCACAGGCAGAAAGTAAAATTTCTTTCCTAACCTGAGGCATACAAAAAAGGTAATCACTCAGGCAGCCGTGAGCAAACACTGTAAACATCAGAACCTTTGTTCCTTGCAAACAATGTAAACATCAGAACCCTTTTAAGATAAAATTTTAACAGTGGCAACACACGTTCATTGTCTGTTTCAGTGATTGAGCTGTAAGCGTTTGGAGTGCTTGTAAATTTTGTTCAACCATATTTACGTTTTAAGAAGAGCAACCAATCAACAGGAGACATGACTTTCAACACTTTCAGTCTCCTTCTTTGCAGTAGTATTTACTGAAAATGCCTGGGCAGAAATGAAAAGGGACAATTTAGGGGGTCTGCTGATGGAAGAACACTGGTATACTGTCAAGATTTTAAAAATAAAACACCATGGGCAATTTTGCTGGACAGGGTATTTGGGTTTCGCATCTTTGGTGTGAATTCCACCCATGTTCTGGGGAACATTATACTGTCACACTCCATTTTCCAACTTTATGGGACAAACTGCGTTACTTTTGCTGGGGAAGGGCTATTCGCCCTGTATGCTTTTGACCTTTGGATAGAATGGAGATGCTAGATCCAGTACTGCCAAGGAACTACACAGTGGAGTGCAACCCCAAGTAACACTTCCCATTCCTCAAAAAGAACCCTTCTGTCAGATGAGAAGAGAATCAAGCAGCTGGAGACGACTTCAGATGCTAGCTACAGAGTACCTGCATGGTACTGTCCAGCAATTCTCCACACACCCTGCAGTGGCCTTTCAGGTCATGTCTGACAATTTTCCCCAGCACCCTGCTATACTGTTCTTGGTGGCATCTCTCAGAAAAGGGATTATTAAAAGGTAGCTGGGTGAAATGTGATGGCCAGTGTTGCCCTGCTCATCTGTAACTCAACAAGCTGCAGTGCTTCCCCGTGGTTATTTGGCTTTGTAGCTCTGCATCCCATTAAGAAACTCCTTACCTTAATCACGCCAAAGGTCACTTAAGAATGAAATACCAGCTCAAAGACAAAAAAAAAAATCTCTCAGCAAAACACATTAACCCACCTTCAAAGTACCAAAATCCAGAGAAGTTTTCAGACTGCCTGAGACATGAAGATCACCAGGCACATTAACTAGAAAAATCTTTCAAATTTTACAGGCACCCAATGTTCCACGCCTGCCAAATGTCCTGCCAGAGCACTTACACCCAACAGTGACAAAGGAGAGAACAGCTATGATGTGTATGTGTGATGGTCTAGGGATATAAGCAAGATGAGCTGTGTGGGAGGAAGTAAGCTGTATTGAAATAACATATAGAGCTGGAAAAAAAGGCATCAGCAAACTTTAAGGCAAAAAAGCCAGCTGCAGAGTTGAAAGAGAAACTTCCTAAATTCCTGGTTCCTAAATCACCACTGCTATAGAAACATTACACCAATGCTGTCAGAGAACAGTCCTCACACCTGAAAAGCTGCTGTTTTCCGCACCTGATTTGGTAAAAAGTCCTGCTTTTACTTAAGACCACACGTTATAAAAGGAGAGCAGGAGAAAGCAAAATTTGCAGCTCTCTCCCAGTACCTTCTTTAAGCCCATCTTTTAGTGGTTTCTGTAGAATGGACTGAAGAACTGCCACAAAGTGCTTATAATGGTTATGCGCTCAAACAAGAGAGGCATTGGATGCCGCTGTTCTAACAGGCACCTGGGCTCCTGAATTTCCTTCTCGATTCCTGTGTACTGCCAAGGGCAGAAAGCAAAATTCTCCAATTAGTAGAGACAGTGACATGAATGGACTCTTCCCTCCCAGCTCCCATATACCACAAAGCAGGGACAGCTCTATCACAGGAGAAGGTCTCCAGGGCTGCAAGCTTTCCTCGACAGAACTCCAACTGCTGATCATGTGCTTTGAGGGCTTGCTGAGTCTTTTCATCAGTGAAGCTTTTTGCCAGACTGTCTGTCCTCTCCCCAAAGTAGTAATTGAGGCTCAGTCACTTTGTCTGACAGGTGCCTCTACTCATAATGGCACTGTGCTGTGGACAGCACGCTGATCCCTGTCCATATGGGATTTAAGAAGCACTCGCTGAAGTACAGAAACTTTATTCTGCTAGCCAGTACAGCCTACAAAATCGATGTGACAACAAAACCCGAGCTCCACAATCTGTTTCATAAGATAAGCAAAGCAAGGCCAAATGCTGAAGATAGTCAACCTACTGCTGCTCATTGCACTAATGCAGCTGCTGCCACCACCTCACCCTGGCAAAAGAAAACCCAGCTGCACAAGTCCTAGAAACATGGAAAAAACGGGCAGGACACAACCAAATCAGGAAGATCTTTGCTCTAAGGCCCGTGCCCCCCAGCCCCCGGTTACAGCCCAGTCCCGTCCCCCAGCGCCGCTGTAGCTGGTCTCGTAGGTAAAGTCCCCGCCGCGGCAAGGCCCGTGGGG